AATATTACTGAACTAAATATGCGCCAGTTTTATCGATGATTTTTTTGCCATTTTGCTGTTAACATTATAACTCCGTCGCTGCGGTTTATAAGTGAGGGTTTATAGGGACGAATGAAACCCTCCATTGAAAATTAGTGAACACCATATGGGAGTCTTGCACAAACTAAGACGGATAATACCTTTACAGTGTAAGGTCTAAGCTACACGGCACATGCGATTTCCCATGGAAGCCCTCCCAATTTTCGTCGGGTAGCTAGTAATGTATACGGTCAGGCATTTTCATGGTGGAAAAGGACGTGATTTCCGCGTACTAGTTCCGATCTATTTCCTTGCTAATGGTTGACAGTAGAGGTCCGAAGCACATGTTTTACCAGCCCGCAGCTGTTCATAATGCATGACCCTTTTCCAATCCCACCAAACACCGTTTGTCGCCCAGTACTTTTTCTTGTCTGTTGTTTGTCATCTACTTTTCACTAGCCGAGATAAATCACTTTCGTAAATGATTCGGTTTCATTTTTTTGCTTCACTTCGTGTGGCATTTTGTAGCCAGCTCTTAGATGGTTCAAAACTACCTGGCGATAGATGTTTAGTTTCTTGGCAATCTCATGGCTACTCACGATCGGTCTTGCTCAACTTTTATAAGAACTTTATCACGACGAGGAGCATCTTTGACATTGCCGTTTCCGCAATTAAAACAATCGAACCATTTTTGGCTCGTGTCTCCCGGTGACGTGTCTTGACCATGACCGGCATACTCAACTTCGAGACGCTCTATGCAACAATTTTAGCACATCTACCACTGCCGAATCTCAGCTTTCAAACGACATTAAGCAGCTGATATTTGTTGAGATAAGTAACCTTAAAGCTATCTAGCCATAAAAACAGGCAATAGCTATTCAGCGATCCGTACGTAAAGTTCAAATTTTCTTTGATCACTTACGTAAAGTTATTTCGATATAATATCTACTCATGCGGATCGGTCGGTAAAGCTGTACAATGCATACTATTTTAATCCGTGTACAAAATTTGCACTTCGTGGCGTTATTGAGTTGAGAGCTAATTGGAGCCTGTGTTTAAGCCCACAGGCTACTCAAAGTGGTCTGGCGGTTATCAGGTCACGCGCGCGAACATCCGTGGGAACCCGAAAGTATATTCGGGACTAGATTCGGGAACACATGGCCAGCGGGCACGGTTTCGTGTCTAATAAGCTCGGGCAGATGTACCCCCTGCCGGAACAATACAAAACCAGGCCGTGCTCGCTGACAGTTACCCCAGACGTAATCGACCCAGCTCCAACTGGCCAATAGAAAGCACAGGTGATCAGAGGCTGCAACAGTAAATTGCGATGTGTGGCGGAGAGAGTTGTTATACATAGTGATTGGACCGGTGGTACAAGGAACATGGCTTGAAACAAATAGACTTCCCCCGTATATTCTCTCTAGTTAGCAACATATGATATCAGAAGTTTCATAAACGACCCTGGACCGTTTACTCGATGAGGGCAGAACAATGTATAAATCGAGTTCACTACGGAATAAAGTAATAGTAAACTTAGCGCCTGACTTCT